CACCAGCAGAGTTGGAATTTGTGGAAGTGATGGCTTTTTAATGTGTAGTATGTATGGTTGTTTTCAGTAGTGTAGTCAGGTATCCATCTGATACCCGTATTTTTTATGGAAATTACTCTTATTTCCAAAGGGCTTTAAAAAGAACCATATGTCCTCCTGGTTCTCTGGGTGATGTTGGTCTTCTGTGCTCTCCCCAAAGGCCACAGCAAGTACACACTGCCACCAGCAGCATGGGAGCAGAAGCTACTGGAGGTAACCCCAGTGATGTGAGCATGAACCTTTCCCATGGTACTGATGATCTTCTCTAATGACCTCCATTCTCCTGATGCCTCCACAGTTCTTGAAGAAATCCTTACAGAGAAACCAGGAGGAAGGCTGGAACTTAACCCTAGGACAGGAACTCAGGAACCAGATGGGTGTCTATCACAACTCCTCTAAAGAAAAAGTCAGTGTGATAAAGAATACTGGTGATCTCCTTCATAAAAAGGCCAGCCAGTTCCCACCCTGTAACCCATACAGTATGTCAGCCTTTCCCAGCCTAGGGACTCTTCAGATGTGTAGATTTCACCTACTGTAAATCCCCCACTAGTTGAGAATTCTGGAAATTAAAGCCTACACAGCTGGAGGGCATCTGGTTTATGTTGTGGGATCAAAACGCAGGACAAGGCCTCTAAAAACTTGTATTTTTCACCCAAAGATTCATTTTTCTCACAATGTTATACTTAATTTCTTCCTCCCATGATTAGCCTTGCTAGTCTACCTATGGAGAGTGGTTTTGAGTGGGAAGACAAAGATGTTTTCCAGATGCATTTCCAAGCACTATGCTGCTGCTGGGGGGTGGAGGGTATAGCCAGGAGCACATCAACAGAAGGCAGAGTGAGATTGAGCAGGTCTAGTGGAGAACTATAAAGCAAAAAAGTGAGAAAAAAGGATAGCGCATCAAGTGATATGAGGCCAGAATCCCTCTGTTTACCTCTTCTTATGAAGAAGTAGGCCAACTTGCAGAAGTTGATTTCAATAGCTTTTAGCGTACATACATGGAGCCTACTTGTATGGAGGCAACATAATGAATAAGCTGTTGTTTATATTGCTGCTGATAGTCTTCCCAGAGGCATTTCCATGGACACTGGTGGAAACAGGATGTTGGCTTGATTTGTGTTTTCAAAGATTGCTCTCTCTTTTGTATACACACACACACATTGCACATGTTGTGTAGAATTCCAACCCATAAAAATCATTTGAAGGGAAGAAAAGTCAAAATAATGTTGAAACCTTGCATGTACAAACAGAGAATAATGACTAAATGAAGTCACAGCATACACAAATAGATGCAGTTCATTTTACTGTTGAATTTGGGAAGGGTGAGGGAGAAGACTTGCAGCCCTGGTTATTCTATCCCTTCATCCACTGTAGGATTGCTGGGGTTGGGATATTGATTCTGGAGAGATCTGGGTCTCTGTAGACCATGTTTACAGAGCCTCCAGCTATCCTCTTTCTCTCCTCCAGGTCTTCCTCTACAAGACTTTGGGGATTGCTCTTTCTGCTACAGGGGACATAGGTGGGGTGACAAAGCAGCTCTTGGATCTGCTCTTGCATACAGATTACACCGAGGAAGCCCAGCAAAAGGCAAGAACCACAATCTGCCCCAAACTAATGAGAATTGTAGACTTAGGCCCAACCTATATTGCTTTTTCTCCTGCTATAATGTTGGGAGTAAAAGATTCCTAAAGGGGAAAGGGGAAAAACTGGATTTGACAGAGAAGAAGCCAACCTCCATCATCCTTTCCCCATTTCCATCCAGAAGGCCAATGATGCTGAGCTTCTGTTTTCTGGTTGCCCCTTCTCTTGTCCTCAGGGTGTTCGCTGGTGTCTGGCATACTGTGCAGAGGGGCAGCTGGTGGCAGTGCTGGAAGCTCTACGTCGCTTTGAGGAAGAGATTTCTGAGGGAAAAGATTTGGCTTGCTTTCAGATTGGCCAGGTTTTGAGATTTACCATTACACATTATCTTCTTGGTCTTTTTGACTAGCAACTGGGGAGCTGGGCACATGAGAATATGATGCCCTTTTAACAGAACATGCTTAAAGCATGTTTCATTTGGGCCTAGAGAGTCCAGATGACAGAACACATGTAATCATATAGGCTAGGCTGCCCCCAACTGGCACCTTGTCAGGCACTGCAATTTGGGGCCCCAGCAGAGTATGGCCTTGCCATTAGAGTTGGTATTCTTCTTCATCTGTAGGCCTTGCCTCAGCCAGAGAAGGACCATGTGATGAATACCCTCTTTCTACTATATGGTAGTGTGACAATCCGTGTTCCCCAGGAGCAGCTAGTGCCTCATCTGACCAATGAGATTGTGCCAAGGATCCTACACCATTATATGACATTAAACAATCCAGAGGTGAGTTTCTTGGACTTTTGCCTTCCTGTGCTACCAGGGTAGCAGGATTCTGCTTCTTTCAATTGGTGGCACTGAATTTTGATGGCATGTTTTTAGGGATGAAGATGGAGAAATGGGTTCTGGAATCATCAAGAGAGTATATTACATGGAGAGATCTGGGTTTGCATGCCACCCAGCCCAAAAACTCAATGGATGTCTGTAATAAGATATCCACTTTCTGGCTACCCTATTACACTAGGTCATCATGCAAGTCAAAAAAGATAGTCCCCTAAAAGGTATAATATAATTTCATCCTATGGAAAAGAATCCTGGTTGAGCAGTAGACAATATTTTATGTTCCTATCTTTTGGGAGCACTGGTGTTCCTTTGTGGTGTTGTTCAGAGGGCCTCCAGAACTTCCCTACAAGACTGATAAGGGTGATTGAAGCTCTGCAAATTAAAGAACTGTTTATTAGCAAAACTATTACCCATCTCCTACTCAGGAACGGTAGCCCTCCATCTATTCAGTGCTTCCTTCCTGTCCCTTAATCCAAGTTCTTCTTGGAGCCAACCTCCATCATCCTTTCCCCATTTCCATCCAGAAGGCCAATGATGCTGAGCTGGTTCTGAGTTTTGCCCAGTGTGTGTCAGAAATCAGCCTTTCCATGCAGAACAAAGGGGACTCTGCTGCCTTCCAGCTGCCTCAAAAAAGAGTGTTGCTTGACCTTCTCGTGGTGAGTACAATGAGGAATACTTGGCTTGTATTGTCGAAGGCTTTCACGGCCAGCATACGATGGCTGGTGTGGGTCTTCTGGGCTATGTGGCCGTGGTCTTGAAGCTTTGTTTCCTAACGTTTCGTCAGCATCTGTGACCG